CTTAAATCCCTTTTCTCAACTTGGTATAACGTGGGAAACTTCTCTAATCTTTGCCAGGAAAACTAATCCAGCAACATACTCATATAGCAGAACATCAAATATACTAAGATACGAAGCAAAGTGATGGTCAGGAGTGAATCGGATAACTCTAATGCATGGTTGTCCCGCCATTTTATTCTCTCTTTCTATCTCAGAATATGTTAGAGGATTTATTCAACATGAATGATATAAATGTATTATTAAAGATATATTTTAATTAATAGTACCGCACTCTTTATAAATAGTGCAAAACTGCAGAACACGCCAACAATAAATAAAAATAGAAATCTTTTCTTCTCCCTAACCCCAGGAATGGTTGGGAGAAGAAGAGGGTAGAAACCTGTTTCAAAAACTTCTGCTATAGTGAAGCTTTCAGGAGAACTTCTCCAAACTTCAGTCTTGTGTAGTGTTCTCCAAACTTCAGTCTTGTGTAAAAATTACTTCGAATAGGGGTGCGGGGTGATTAGTTTTATCTTGCTCTTTGCCTAAAGGCCTGTTTAGACGATCCAAGTTCTTGGACGAAAATTGATTAATATTGATGAAAACTTGTTTTGCTTTGAGCTTGGATCGTGTAAACGATCATCCAAGTACTTGGTCCAAGTTCTTGGACGATAGTAGAGCATGTTCTACTTTCCATCCAAGTTTTTTCTCCCTTAACCAATCAGCGTCTTAGGTTTTGTGACGTCAGCAAGCAGGCATCAGATTATGTCATTTTGTTGCCTGTTTTCATATATTTTAGTGCAAATAAATTGATCTGTTACGGTTTAATTGTGTTATTATGATTTTATCTAAATTTATTTAGTAATTTTAAACTTATATAAGTATTATTTTATAATGATTAATATGAACATTGCGCTGTGCACAAGTTCTTCTTCCGACCAATCAGTGACATTCTAGAACTTGGATAGTGTCGACGAATCATCCAATTTCTTGGACAGAGAAATTCCTCCAATTTCTCGGATTCAAGAACTTGGACCGTGTAAACAGGCCTTAAGTCAGTGTGATTAAACCAATCAACACCTTCATTCCTCCATTGCACCCCAATTAAAAATGTGCTCTTGCTTGTAACCATAGCAGCGTCACAGACTTTTAGTCTGGAGGAGTTCTGCTCAAAGTCGCACAATACGTGTCTTTAAATATTGTCTTTTCATATAGTTGCCTTTTTGTATCTATACATCTCGTCCCCTATCCCAGTAGATAATGGGAGAAGAGGGCGTTTCAAATATCTCTCTTATTGTACCCCAAGTGTTGCCTCAGAAAAACTGTTTACATTAGGTCTATGGAAGCTAGCCTTCTTCCCCTATGCATATTCATTGAGCCTAACACCACTAGGTTTTTTCTTGCAATAATTAAGAGTGATTAGTTATGGTTTTTAAGTACAAATCGTTAGTGTGGGAAACCGCATACCCCCAAATTTTCACATGGTTAATAACAAAACATGTGAGCAATAAAAACAAGTCTGAGGATGAAAGGACAGAGTTATTAATTTTAATTGCTTCATGGCAAGTTAGAATATGGAAAATCTTTTCTATCAATTTGTACTCGTGATACTTTATTTAAATGAAAGATAACTCTACTCGCGTCATTAGGACTTCTTTTTCCTGGTGTATAAAATAAAATAATCGGTACAAAGAAAGAAATGCTTTTGATTATTCCCAGAATTCTAAAATGAAAGGGTTCAGTCAATGCCTTTACCCAGCTTTACTAAAAGACAGGTAGAACCAGAAACTCTTCAAATTTCAGTTTTTTTAATGCGTCGTTATAAGATATCTTAATAAGTTACGAGAAATGATATTGTAAGGTCCGAAAATATCCAATTATCCAGAGACTCAAATTATCATTTTACAGCAAATTTAATAAGTTTATAATAATAAGATGTTGAGAAACTCGAAACATATTATCTTTCAGAAACCATCATACATGAGAAACCTTTCATAACGATGTCATCTATATATAGGTGAGAAACAAATGATTCAATTGGATTTAGTTTTAAAAAAATAGAAAGAAAGATGTTTGAAAGATTAAGGTAGATTTTCATCAGGTTAAAAGTATCTGAAAAAAAAAGGAATTGTATGTTGCAAAGACGCTGAAAAATAGGAACCTTGAGAGGTTTTGCCATTACATGAGAGTACTTTCGAATTAGGAGAATTACTTGTACTCCTCCCCCCTAAAAAACAGTAAAAAAAAAAACATTGAAAGTTTTTGATAAGTTATAAAGGCAAATAAAGTCAAAAGAATTAACAAATGCTTGTTTGGTAGTTATAATAAAAAAAACGCGAATTTTAAAAAAATAAGATATTTTTTAAAATATTCTTTTGGGCAATGTTAAAAAAATAATCACCAAGAAAATAATTATTCATCAAGTTGTTTCTTTTCCTAACTTTGAACTTTATAGTTTAATTAAAGTCAGTTGAATAAAAAAGAGTAAAATTATAGCTTCATAAAGGAGGTAGAAGAAAAATATCGAATACCATACAATTTAACAAATTAATTGTTAGTGATATTGCACTTGAAATATGAATAATTTGAAATTCATAGCTTAATTCTTTAATGAAGGTTTTTGTTATAATAACTACTGAACAACACATAACCTCGAAACACTAGAAAGTAAAGTGTAACATTAATCTTGATAATAGTTGAAAAATTGCAATACTTAATACATCTGAACTCTCTGAAAGTCGTTCTTAATATATATTTTTTAAATCCTTATGAAAAAATTAAGATAAAGAAACTCCCAAAGCAACATTTAAGCCAAGAAACCAATGAAAACGTTATCTCAATTTGAAAAATCTCAATTAAGGAAGGCGATTGTACGGAATATCAAATCCTGCTTGATTGCAGGTTGAAATTTTTGGATATTTATAGTAATTATCTTTCAACTCCTCTTTATTTCATACCGCAATCAAACCGATTTTAGTGTTTGTACTACCTAGAAAGGAATTTGAAACTTCATTGCTGATTACTGAAATTAATGTAAAAAGTGGAAATTAATGTAAAATGTAAAAACGGTTTGAGAAAGCAGGTAAAAACTACAGTGCGTTAAATAAAAAATTTTAATCTAATGATCGGAATTTCACATTCCAAGGATTCATTCTTAATGGTTCGACCTAAAATATGCTAATTAATTAGCGCAGACGATATTGTAAGTTACGAAATCAAATACTTTTTTGATGGATTCGGATTTCTGACCTCCCAAAGTATCAATTGTTTGATCGGGAAAGCAGTCTAAAGTTTCGGCCCTTAATGTTAATTTTACTTTTTGCGTATTTCACCATATCTAAAACAATTTATGCGAATTGAACACAATTGTAAAATTCACTTATCCAAAGATAATTCCGTGCAATAAAATAACTTTTAATAAATATTTATTACTTTTTATTATTTAATTTTATATTAGTCGAAAAAATTTTGAATAGCAAGATATGCAATTTTTTTACCGCATTTTTAGGAACATAATTTTGTATGGCAAATTACAAAACTTGAGAGAAATCGGTCAAATAGTTTCTAAGAAATTGAATTTTTGAAGCACAGTTTCTCTAAAATTCCTCAGAAACTATTTGAAATTGGTCAAATAGTTCCTGAGAAATCAAATTTTTGAAATACAACTTCTTTAAAATTCCTCAGAATATATTTGACCGATTTCAATCAAATTTTATTTTTTGCCATGTAAAATTATATTCTATAAAATGATGTAAAACGTTGACTACTTCACGATTCAAAATTTTTTCTCAAAAAGTTAAATAAAATAAGAAAAAATGATACATAATTACTAAAAATTATTTTTTTAGGGGAATTATCTTTGGATAAATAAATTTTATACTTTTGTGCAAAAGTTTTTCGCTTGAAAAGTTCTCGAGATACAGCAAAATGTAAAATTAAAGACTGCTTTTCATAGCAAACTATTTCCCAGATTGCGGCAATTCTGGGGGTCAGAAATCCATCGATAAAAGGTATTCAGAGAAACGTACGTGTTTGTATCTTAAAATATCGTGTGTACTAATTAATTAAAATATTTGAGGTCACCCCCTTTAGAATGATTCCTGGAACGCGAAGATCCAATTATTAGATCAAAAGTCACTCAGGATGGTCCATTTTTTTTATTTTGCGCAATGCATGGGGAAACATAGGATGGATATATGAGTAATCCATGGAATTCAGTACATTTTCATGGAGTAATTTATGGAAATGGAATAAATTATTTTTGTATTATATGAGGAGCTGTAAATCTTTATGATAACTAGATTCTGTTTTGTTTTCTTAAAAATTTCAAATCTGTTTAATCTGAATGGATTTTTCTGGATCATCTTAAAATAACTCTCTTATTTGTCAAGTAGTCGTGCGGTCAGATCATAACAGCCAATTTTCTGAACTGCAATTTGTCATATTTAAATGACGTCTTTATTTCTCGCTTAAATATTAATTTTTGAAATTTATTGCTCCTACTTTGTTTTTATTTCTATCATTTTTATAATTCTTTCTTAACGTAAATCTTTTTAACAACGCTGCTGAACTGACAATTGATTCAGTGTCAACTAATAAAATATTTCAAAAATATAACTTAACGACTCAAGCGCAATATTTTCCAGCCCTGAGTAAAAACGAGATTAAATTAATCCTACAGTCAATTTCTGCGAAGCTCTAGTTTCCTTGAAATAGTTACTAACCTGAGGTAACTAGGAAAGCATGTAATTCTTTTTCAATCACGCTGACCTATAGACAATTGATTGAAAACCCATATTAACTAATCTCAAAAATTCGCTAATAAAAGCACAATATTTTCCAGCCCTGAATAGAAATTTCTGAAAAGCTGAAGTTTTCTCGGAAAAACAGAAATCGCTGATAATTAAGGAATTCTTAAAGTTACTCCTTCTCAATTACGCTGTAGTACAGAGAAATGATAGAAATCACGTATTCAGTGCCAACTAATCCGAAATTTCAAAAATATAACTTTACAATTTATTGGATTTTGTTGAGAGCAAATCAGACTGAAAGTCACGTAGAACAAACTGAAAACTTAACTTTTATTTACATCAAAAAGAATATAAAAACAATAAGATGTTGCCAGCACAGGAAACTTAAACTATCTAACTAATCTCGAACTCAAACCTCAACATCCTTCCCACCCTGGTCGACCTCGAGGGGGATGACCAGAGCTACCGGACGGGTTATATTGTGACCATTAACTCTCAGCTCACAGGATCTTATTTTTCCATCTCGTTCTTCATGCAAGTTCACCACTCTAGCTTTCTTCCACATGTGACGTGGTCGGACATCTTCTTGTAGAAGTACAATATCGCCAATTCGGATGTTAATGATATTGTCCTGATTACGAACTTGATGAAATGACCGCAATTGAAGCAAATATTCCTTAGACCATTTTTTCCAAAAGCAGTCGAGTAAGTCCTGCTGCTGCTTGTAGAATTTTCTTAGCTTTGTGTTGTTATTTGGGCTGGATGGAATGGCCGTTAGTTTCCGTCCTGTCAAGAAATGGCTTGGTGTTAAGGCTGTGGAACTGTCATCTTCGTATATCAATGGTCGGCTGTTCAGAGCGGCTTCTATTCCAATGAGGGCCGTGGACAGACCTTCCTCGTCAAGAAGTGCTCGTCCGAGTACCTTTCGTAAACATCGCTTGACAACTCCGATTAGGCGTTCCCACCAGCCTCCCCACCAAGCCGCTCGTGGGGCGATAAATTTCCAAGTTATGCCATTTTGGGCATAATATTGCTGAGTTTTAGCTGATGACAGAACTTGCCATAGCAGAATCAAGTCCTTATTTGCTGCATGAAAAGTGGTAGCATTGTCGGTATAGATTGTGTGTGGGAGTCCTCTGCGGCCAACAAAACGTTGTAGTGCCAAAAGAAATTTGTCTGTGGTAAGATCCGACACAAGTTCGATGTGTAATGCACGTGTTGTTGCACAAGTAAATAGTGTTATGTAGGCTGTGTCTCTTGATTTCAAACATCGAATATTCACGGGTCCAGCAAAATCAATTCCTGTGGTAGTAAATGGAGCAGAAGGTACAACTCTTTCAGGAGGTAAAGGAGCTTCGATTTGTTTTCCGTATTTCGCTTTGGACAGCTTGCAAGGTAGGCATTTGTGAATAACTTGCTTTATAGCTTGACGTCCTCTTAAAATCCAGAAGGTTGAACGTAACTCGGACAGGATTATACGCACACCTAAGTGGTGAAGTCGTATGTGTGTATGCTGGATCAAAAGGTGGACAAAATAGTGTTTACCATCGAGCAATAAAGGGTGTCGAGTGTCAGAAGAAATGTTTGAAAATTGCAGCCTTCCCCCAAGGCGTAAATAATTATCTTCAAGAAAGGGATTGAAACAGGAAATTTTGGATTTTTTCGGCAGGGGACGTTCAGCTTTTAAGGCATTTATTTCAGCTGAGAAACATTGATTCTGTACAGTTTGTATCCAATAGTTTTTAGCTTTCTCTATTTCATTACAATTCAGTTCATGAGTTATGCGTTGCTGAGTCTTACAGTTGTATACAAAACGTAGAATCCAGGCAGTCACACGAAGAAGTTTCGTGTAAGAACTATAACGAGATATATCTATGATGGGTTCTGTAGTTGCAACGTAGGAGGATTGAAATTTGGTTTTTCGTGATTCAGCTTCAACTAAAGGTTGTGTACGTGTAGATAAAACTTTGATAGGCCAAGTTTCTGGATCATGTTTTAGCCATTTCGGACCGTGCCACCAAGATTCTAAAATCGATAACTGTGATGGAAAGGTACCACGAGTAAGATGATCCGCAGGGTTATCTGTACCGGGACAGTGGCGCCATTGTGCTGAAGTAGTGTTTTGAAGGATTTCTGTTGTTCTGTTGCAGACAAATGTTTTCCACTGGTTAGGATTTCCCTTTATCCAACTTAAAGCTACAGTAGAATCGCTCCATAGTATGGCAGTGTGGGAATTCATGTTCGTTTCCCTGCAAAAGTATCGGAGTAGGCGAGCTCCTAGTAGTGCAGCTAACAATTCAAGTCTCGGAAGGGTGACCCTTTTGATTGGGGCTAGTTTATTTCGACTGCAAATGAGATGGATCTCTGTAGAAATATCATCTGCGTGACGCGCGTACAAGCAAGCACCATATGCACGTTCCGAAGCGTCGCAAAACACATGTATGGTAACGTCGGAATTTTCGGAAAAGCCAATCCATCTTGGGATGCATATTTCATTCAGATAGTGTAATTCATTTATCCACTTGTGCCACTGCTGTGCTACAGATGGAGGTAATAGTTCATCCCACTGAATACCACTAAGCCATGTATCTTGAAACAATATCTTCACAACTACTGTAACTGGAGCAAACAAGCCTAGAGGATCGTAAAACTTTGACATCAACTTCAGTAGTAAGCGTTTTGTTACTGGTTCTTTACATGCTTGAACAATTTTTGTCTGCACATCAATTTGAAAAACATCACTGTTAGTATCCCATTTAACACCCAAGACTTGCGTAATATCCTTAAACGAGACGTTTTCTTGTTAAAGATTTAAATCGTTGAATTGCGACTTCATAATTGTTCGACGAAAGTTGAACTTCTGGTTTCCAAGGCAATTTTACAACTCTTCTACCATCGATGATTTCAAAAGATTGATGAAAGTTCGTTAAGAGTTCAGAGTTGTGAGGACTTATTTTTTCTTGTGTTGGTTGTATGCCAATGCTCTCTAAGTTCCAGAAATTTCGTACCACATTATCTAATTCCTGAGTTGAAGTATCCACATCAACATTATGAACCGTTGAAATGAAGGAAACTGTTGCGTGTGATCGAGTTCCACTAAGTACCCAACCAAAACTTGATGGGACCAAGGCCAGAGAATCCGACAACCTGACTGGAGCTTCAGAATTCATAACAATCCAGTAGTAATCTGCACCGATTAAAATCTCAATTGGTAAGTTCGACAATGAATCATCTGGATCAGCAAGTTTCATTCGCTTGTTTTTAGCAAAGAGTGAAACATCCGTTGATGAAGGTAGGTGTGATGCATATTTGTTGGAGCTTTCAAATGCAGTAACATTAACTTTAGATTTGTCCCAGATACTTGATAACTGAAATTTGACTTGTCTTCGCATGTAGCCAACATTAGCTGGGGATTCGAAGGCTTGAATGTCCAAATGTCTGGTTGAAATTACTGGAAGTTTTAAAGTATCCACAAGATTAGAAGAAACGAAACTAGATTGACTTCCACCATCCAATAGACAACGTGTCAGTTTTGTAATGCCAGTGGGCCCAGTTATGAAAACTCGTGCAGTTTGCAAATGAACGAAATTGGAAGGCGATACATCAATTTTGTTTGTAGATGTAGCCACAGGCTGCTCATTGGTTAGAGGTTTGCATATTGATGTATGGTGTTTTCTCTTGCATTTGGCACAGCGAAATTTTTCTCTTCGGGGGCAATTTTTTTTGGTATGTCCTCGGTTAGTGCACAAAAAACATCTATTACTAGTCTTCAATTTCTGTATGCGCACGTCTATGTCCGTTACAACATTGCACTGTTGAGGCCAATGTCCGACAGTTTCACAGAAAGGACAAAAGGGTGACATTATTTTACTTTTGGTAACTGATTTAGAATTCACGTTAAAATTTTCTAAGGAGGATTTAATAGGATAGTCTGGAGCAAGTGAACCTTTAATATTACTTGCAGTAATTGATCCCTCGACCTCTTCTGATAAAAATTTCATTAATTTTGAAATATCGCTTTCACCAAAATTTTCACGTTTGGCATGCACAATCCAGTTACGACAGATTTCATGAGGAAAAGCACGAAGTATTTTAGGAGCCAAAATTCTTCCGTATGATTGAGTTTTTTCTCCTAAAGCATCTAAAGCCTGTATTCTTCGATTACAATCAATATATAACTCATTTATTGCTGCTGGAGAGTGATTTTTGACAGGTTTTAGGTTTTCTAAATAATCGAGATGAGCCTGTATTATTTTATCTTTATCGCCATATTTCGATTTCAAAATATTCTTTGTTGTTGCATATGTTTCTGCAGTTATATTAATTCCATCAACTATTCGTTTTGCTTCTCCATCTAAATATCCCCGCAAAAAAACATGCTTGTCAATCAGCGATAAACTTTCGTTTTTGTCGATACAGTTTTCAAAACGCTCCCAAAAACTATGGAATTCTTCAATTTCGCCGTAAAACGTATTTATTTTTATTGTAGGCAACTTTACTGTAACATTTGAAGGCGAAGCTGAAAAATTATTTATATTGGCAGCTGTTGGCGATGTTTCAGAAATTGAATTCGTGTTCCGATTCGCTGTTCTTTTGAAATTAAATAACGCCAAATGAGCATATTCTGTGTATCTTTCGCATTCTATTATGTCTTCCTGATATTCTTCATCATTTAAAAAATTATGTATTTCATCGTCTGCCAAGGTTAATTCTTTTATTTTATCTTGTAAACGTTCAATGTTGTATTCCTTTTCAGTTTGTGTACTAGCAGCATCGTTCAATTTCGTCGTTAGTTTCGTAATGGCGGTACGTAGCGTTGTTCGTTTGCGTTTAAATATTACCAGTTTTTCACTACCGGTAGCCATTCCAATTCAGATTTTTGACGAAAGTAATTATAAAAGGTTCAGTATGACTTACCGAGTTATTTCGGCACCAAATATTGGATTTTGTTGAGATCAAATCAGACTGAAAATCACGTAGAACAAACTGAAAACTTAACTTTTATTTACATCAAAAAGAATATAAAAACAATAAGATGTTGCCAGCACAGGAAACTTACACTATCTAACTAATCTCGAACTCAAACCTCAACACAATTTGCCAATCAAGGCACAATAGCCCCGAATAAAAACAAGATTGAACGAATCGGATTTCTGCGAATCGGAATAATTATTAATTGCGGTATATAGAAACCTGAGATAATTAGGGAAGCAGTTTTTTCCCCTTTACAAAATGTTTAAGAAAAAAAGAGTATTGTTAGGGCAGAGTTTATTTCAATAGATAAGAAAGGATCTCAAATTTAGTCATAAAAAGAGTATATCGAAAAAGTCAGCTTTTATGTGATGCTGCTGGCTAAAATGATAATCGAATTGGCGAGGGCTTTATCCTTAGTTCTTTTTTAAGAAACACCGTGTCCTATCCTTCTTTTACGAACTTATATCTCAAAAAATAAAATGTACATAATATTTTATAATTTATGATGGAAAAAATTATTTTGTTTTAAATTTTTGTATTTATTTCAATAGAATTTTGTCATGGTCACACACGTTTTTTGATCTGTAAACAATTTTTTTTCTTAAAAATATTTATTACATTTTATCAATAAGCACTGGAAAAACTTTGTATCTGCTAATTAAAGATCTTGTTGAATGGAAGGTTAAAGTGACATTGCTGGAAAAATTAAGATTTATAGGGGAAAGCTCTCAGTTTAGTATTATTTAACTATACAGATTTTATTTAGTTTGCAAAGTGTTTTTCTGAAGATCTCAGTGGATGAAATAATCCATATGACAGTCTTTACGTGTTTTAGGAGTTGGCAAATGATTCAAGTGCACTTAGTAGCAAATTAAAACGCTACGAATGTGATTGGCATGACTGAAACTGCTTAAATGCGTGCTATGGTTTTTTATAATTAATATTGATAAATGTAACTTCCAGTTAATTAATCTTTGAATATATTTTGTAGTATATGTTATTTTCAATAACTCTGACATTTTAACACTGAGATGTAGCTTCTTATTAGGCATGTAAGAAATTACTTCATCCCATTAAAAAATGATTAACGTAATAAGAGTTTCAGTGACTCCATCCGTGTATTGGGATTGAATGATTTTATTTTATTAATTATATTTTGACGATTCTACTATAGTATCCCATGCCTGACACATGAAATTAACATATTTATCAAAATAATATTTAGTAAAATAACATTTGTTGTCTGTTTGTTTCTTTTCTTTAAAATAATAATGTATCAGCATTTTGAAAATATGTTTTTAATTCATTATCTAAATTATATACATGTTATGTTTATATTTTCTAACAATTATTGTTGATAATTGCATTAAAATAGGATCTCATGAATTGACGATAAACTGAAAGGCATTAGAAAAATATTTTTGGTTTGCTTCAATCTATTAAAATTTTAGTAGCTATTACAAGCAGTTAAATATTAAAATGCAGCATTTATTCCATCATTTTACGTTTTGCACTCTTTAATGCACACAATAAGCTCTTGAATTGAAAGGAAGATATCACAAAACTATCTTGATTTCTTTTGCTTCACTTAATTTAAACTGAAGTAGCAATTAGAAGTGGTATAGGAAACAATGCATTGTGTGTCTTTACACTGTTACTGAAATTAACAATCAAGAAAGCACTTTAGCTCATATTTTAAAAAAGTAAAATATGCATATTCGTAAGTAAAAATTGGTTGCATAATATATCTATGCTTATCCATTTTATATACATACATTTTTATTTTTTAAAAAGTTGAGAAAAAAAAATATCTGAAAAGTAACTTTTAAGTTAGAATAAGTTCCTACATTTTCCATTATCTTACTGCTCGCCATATGTGTTTTGCTAAAAATATTAAAATTAATTATATCCTTTTAAGATAACACCGATTAAAAATCGATGAAAATCTCTAGTTGATTAAATCTTGTTTTACTCTTAGCTAATTGTTTTACTTCCCATAGAAAAGATAGTAAGCTGCTATTTAACTAATTTTTCCAAAAAAAGCAAAACATTTGTTCCACATTTTTTTCCAAAAATAATTAATTATCTTAAATTTTAAATCATTATTTATGAAATATCCGGGCTTTTTTGATCATAGGAACTGTGAGTAAATTAATTAGTTATGCTTTAATAAGTTTAAGGTAAGATATTGCTGGTAATGCTTTCTACCTAAGTAACTTTAAAAGATAAATTCATTTATTGTATGATTCTTTAATTTTAATATGTCAAGCGCGATAAAAAAAGAAAGAAAATCATGAATAATTCATAAATAACCTTAAATAGGCTTACTAATTAGTGCTCATTAAGTTAAGACACAAAAGTATACTACATTTATATTTCCAAAATCTCAGCAAATATTCTTTTCTTTTGTTGAGATTTTAACTATATTTTTGTAAGTTTAAAAAACTGAGTTTTTAAGAATAATGAGCTTTTGAAATTCACATTTTTAAGAGCTATTTAATATCTATCTTTAAGCCCATAACTTAAAAAACCGAAATAACTGTTAGTTAAAAGGTTAATATTTAGGTTTCATCCTTTTAATGGTATTCAATTTTTTAACAAAATATAAATTATCTTATACTCAATAATTCAAAATTGTCTTATAAAATATTCCAATCTTCTTTGTGTGTAAAATTATTTTTCTCTTGTATTTAGTTGTGAGAAAAACTAGCAATGTAACAATCAACAATATTACGTCAATAATTTTTTAAATGTGATGAAATAATCTATTACATACGTAATAGGAAGCTACACATCAGTGTTAAAATGTCAAAAGTATTGAAAGTAACATGAAAGAATAAAACAATATAACATAATATAATAAAACAATACAATATAACATAAAACAATATAGCATAATATAATAAAACAACACAATATAACATAAAACAATATAACACAAAACATAAAAATAAAGAAATCTTTGTCAACTCTTTTTTGTTCAAGAGTCTGAGATTATTGCTCGAATTAACTGACATATCTAAGTAAGTTGATTGCAGTAAGTCAGTGTATTGTGGCTTTTGTCTTTGGCTGCGAATGTTCGATACCCAGCGCTAAATGCTGGGCGTCCGTTAGGACAGTGATTCAGAATCCACTATTATGTAATGTGTCTAGTGGTTTCAAAGCTAAAAAAGTCAGCACACAGTTGCGTTATTGAAAAGCGTAGTGCCGGCTGATTTCAACAACCATCTGGCCTTAGGACGTCTGCATAGACTATCCTTAGGCCTTTGGACTATCTTAGGACTACCATTACAGATTAACCCCTTACCTTTGTAAATAGTCTTTTAGTGAAATTTTGTTGCGACATTAACAACCAAACTAAGATTGAGTTCCTTTTATTTTGTGGCAATGAAAAAAAAATTTCAGACTGAAAATAATCCAAAGGAGGAGTAAATTACGATAAATTATTATTAAATGTAACACTGAGAATTAATATGACATTTTACTTAAACGGATAAAGTTTATTTGGAAAAATGTCACAAAATATTCATTGATAGTTGAATCTCATTTAAATAAATAAACTATTTGACAAAAAATAGTAGTTTAAAAAAACTACTTTTCAGAGGGTGAGTTTAAAGCATCAATATTTAACAGTCCATTTCTCAGCGAAAATACATTTTCTCCTGGTAAAAGTAAATACATATTGTCTCGTCCCCAATGGTGACTGGTGTAAGTTAAATCTATCTGGTCACAAAATCCTCCATGTTCCCATAACAAATCATACCTCTTTTGGTACTGAATTAGAGATAGATCGTTCTCTGGTTCAGGTCGAAATTATGATCTGTCCGCCCTCTAAACCGGGCTGTGACGTGTGTGGTGTATGGGGCTAAAGACATATTCTTGGCCATAGATGGTGCCACTGAGAAACAAGAAGAGCACTTTCTGTCTTTAATTCAGTTTGTTTCACCAAGCAGGCTTGCTTGAATTGGGAAGTGGTATTAGAAACTACAACAGCTACAACAACATATTGTTTCCAATGTAAACCAAT